AAGAAGGAGAAGAGAAAGAGAGAGAGAGAGAGAGAGAGAGAGAGATTGAGAGTCAGGCTCTTTATTTTCCTAATCCATATACATTCTGGTACTGATTATTTGTTATATATACTGGTGCCCTGTTCTATCAGTCAGTTGATTTGGAAGCTGTTTTAGGAGTCAATCAAGTTCTGGGTACATGTAGTTGAAACATACGGGAATCCTTGTATTAATCTCTTTTCCTCTAATGTACATGGGGTAACTAATGGACTGATTATGGTGCCCTGTTCTATCATTCAGTTGATTTGGAATCTGTTTTAGGAGTCAACCAAGGTCTGGGTACATGTAGTTAAAGCATACAGGAAAGCTTGTATTAATCTCTTTTCCTCTAATGTACATGGGGTTACCAATGGTCAGAGCTGCCCAAAACTTCTTGGCACTTATGGCAAAGTAAAGAAAAATACTTCCTCCCCATACTAACTGGGAGCTGAGTCTTGTGGGTTTCTTGAAAGACACTAGGACTGTTCAGTCACTGCTTGCCTATGACAACATATTTAGAAAGAGGTGCCCAGCCCCTTTTCTGTCCATGATTGCTATACCCACGTAGAAGGTGACATGCCTGAAAAGGAGGCTTTCCCATCTGCACATAAGATCTCTCAGTGCATGCAAAAAAACCCTGCTTTCTGGGGTTCTTATCTGTGTGTAGTGCTTACACATCAGCAGGACACTTTTGTTCTTCTGACACATTGCTGTTCACATGGAGAAAGAGATAATAGAGAGAGGAGGGGCTAAGTGGTCCTTTCTTCCCTTCTAAACATGTTGCCAAGATCAATATGAGTAACAACTGGATTGTACTTCCCTTGTTCTTGGTCTCCCTATGCGTCTGCTCAGAAGCAATGAGCAAGCAGCTATTCAAGATGGTGAACTTATTTGGGGGAGATAGATTTCAGCACCTTGGATAGCTTCTATAAAGTTCAGACTAAAAACCACAGCAATTTTACTGTTCCATTAATATTGGAGTTAACAGCCTCTGTTCAAAAGTTAGCCCCTTTGACTTGACTCAGAAGGATTCCCAAATGTAGATTAAAAACAAAAACTGAAAAGAGTATGTGGCAACTTCACAATTAACAGGTTTCTTGTAATGCAAGGTTTGGCTATCTGTCTATCTGTCTATCTGTCTATCTGTCTATCTGTCTATCTATCTATCTGTCCGTCCGTCCGTCCGTCCATCCGTCCATCCATCTATCCATCTATCCATCTATCTGTCTGTCTGTCTGTCTGTCTGTCTGTCCGTCCCATAAAATTTTATACTGCCTGATTAATGCTGGCCACTACTCTGGACAGTTTACATCAAAAGTTTACACTATCAAATATTGTAACAAATTTCTTATATAAATCATACAAAATTGCAGCCCCAAAGTTTTAATGCATTCTTACCATCTTTTCCAGATATAGCCGCGTTGTACTGGGAACTGATGCTAAGTTTTTTTAAAAAGGAAAAAAGAACATGGCCAAATTAGAGAGATGAACAGCTTTTCTAAGACATTATGGAAAAACCGATAGAAGTCTGCTCAAATGACCTCTTTTAAAATATGAAAACAGGCTGAACACAACTTAAAGAAGAATCAGCTCATTGCTTAATAACTTTAAACCACATAATGGATCAGTCTATTAAAGAAATGTTAATAATACCAGTATCTGAATAGAATATGCTTTCAAGGGACTGAGGAAATAACTGACTATTTAAGGAACAATAACTACCAATTATACTAAAGGTGAAAATAAAATTAAAATAAAAAGTATCTTATATCTGATGAAGTAAACTTGTCCATGAAAGCTCACATTAATAAGTTAGCCACCACATTTTTGTCTTTTTTTTTTACTTTTTTATTTTTTAATTTTATTTCGTTTTCACCTATAATGCTTGCAGACTAACATGGCTACCCCTTTTATGAATAAATTACAAAGCCTGCTTGTGGCTTGTGTGCTTTTTAAAATTCCAAAGTCAAAATGGTCTCAGAACAGCAAGAAGTATTCCCTTTTACTCTTGGCCTTGCTGATTAAAATTCTTAGCCAATTCAAAATAGCTGCACTCACTAAATATTAGCAGTTAATTAACTACACAAACTGGTTAAATCTTACAAAACGAGTTAGATTCTGTGTCCAGAAAAGGTGAGGATAGATAGTCCTGCTGGGCTCCTCTTTAGGCTGAGCATTGCAAAGAATGGGTAGGAAAGAGGGTGGAGAAACAGAAATCATCCTGGCCAGATGTTGAGGCTGCAGTATCTCTAATCTTACGGCCCTAAGAGTCATTATTCATAACAGTTGGCTGCCTAGAGAGTTCACTGTGTACAGGCTATGAATTGCATTTTATGTGTCTCCAAAATAACATAGGGCAAGGCTGGGGAATTTGTGCCCCTGTAGAGGTTGTTGTACCACAACTGCTCAGCATTAAGAGGCTCTGAACCAAGGAGGCAACCAATATCATTGCATGGGAAAAGAAGGGCTGAACTCACACTATTTGCTATTGTCATGTGGCGTCCAAGTAATACAGAAACAATCCTGATAGCTATATAATCCACCCTAACAGCACCTTCAAATGTAGACACCCAGAGTGAAATATCACAAGAAAGATGGTCCGTTAGACGGCCAAGCCTCAAGCCATTTAAGACTTTGAAGGTTAAAACCAATACCTTGAACTGAGCCTAGACCACCACTAGCAACTGGGGCAGTGTGAAAAACTGTGGGTCTTCTCTTCCTCTCAACTTCTATTGCCAGGATCTATTCAACCGTTCTGCTCATGAAATGGTCTGTTATAAGTCTAAGGAACTCTCCAGTATCTCTTGTTCATATAAGGGGGGATCAGTGTCTCTTTGCACAAGCAGAAGTCTCTAGCCGCCTAGAGTGGTCTTAATTGACTAGATAGGCGGGATATAAATAAAATAAATAATAATAATAATAATAATATACTTGTAGAACAGAAAACAGGGAAATCCCTTGTTACAGTTAGGGCTGTGCACTGGCTCTGGCCAAAGGTAGATTATTAACCAAGTCAATCTTATTTGGACCTATTTGTTATGAGGTCTGGTTCAAAACAGAATTGGCTAAGTCTGTATTTGCAAATAAATCCAAATATTCTCAAATTCTGTAAACCTCCAGTGTTTAATAGGAATCAGAACAGAAAACAGGGAAATCCCTTGTTACAGTTAGGGCTGTGCACTGGCTCTGGCCAAAGGTAGATTATTAACCAAGTCAATCTTATTTGGACCTATTTGTTATGAGGTCTGGTTCAAAACAGAATTGGCTAAGTCTGTATTTGCAAATAAATCCAAATATTCTCAAATTCTGTAAACCTCCAGTGTTTAATAGGAATCAAACCCAAATAAGTAATGTGTCCATGCAATGTCTTGCTGCAGTGAGATGTTGAATCAAGTTGAGCAACCATTATGGATCTGGAATCTCTTTGCTTGCACTTGTCTCTCATAAGCCATTTTAGATCACCTTTCTCACCATCCCTTCCCAGAATAGCAAACCCTGCTTCTACTCCCAGCCCACTTTACATACTGAGCTTCCTCTCCTTCCAGCAGGCGACGGTAGGTGTTGATTTCCTGTTCCAGGCGGGTCTTGACATCAAGAAGAGTCTTGTATTCTTGGTTCTGGCGCTCCATGTCACACCTCAGCTCAGCGAGCTGCTCTTCCACGCTGGTAATCATGATCTGGATTTGGCTAAGCTGGCTGCCATAGCGACCTTCTGTTTCTGCCAGGGTGCCTTCCAGTGCTGCTTTCTGGGAGAAGAGAAATTAATGGGAAAGACGCTTGAGTGTCTTGGCACTATTTAATGGCCAGACCTCATAAACAGCATTAGGGACCTCAAGCCCTCAAGAAAAGCCAGCTGCCTCATAAACTAAGATTAAAAAATTCCTTAGATTTGCATTTCCCTATGAAAATATTATTCTCACACCTCCCAAGACTGGCACTAGGATGAAGTACATCAGGTCCCCAAAGTTCATACACTATCAAGGCACATAATGTTTTCTGAGGAGTTAAAATATATAAAGAACCATTTATGTGTTTGAAAAAGGTTCATGATGAAAATATATATATATGGGAAATGTATACAAAAATGCTCCGGTCAATGAGGAAATGTATACCAATCTACGCTTGAATTTCCATGAGGGAAAACTGGGACACTCTTCAGTCTGATATTGCATTGAAAAGGATAAGAGCACCTGTGAGATACTAAGCAATGCAGCCGTAATGAAACTGAGAGGGCTAGGAAATGAAATATTACAAATAATGACACGACCTGTACAATGTTACTTTTCCGGGTATTACTATATGATAATCTACATATTGCTAAATATTGTGACAATAGGTGATGCCATTACTTCTGCTGTGAAGTTCATAACATTTATGTAGAATCTCTTTGTTACTTCTGAGGAGATTTTTTTGGAGGCCATTTTGAGGATTAAAATTTTAGGCCATTTTCTTGCTTTTTAGATGCCTCCACTGCCCCCCGAAAAGGAAACCAAAATTATAAGTAATGGGTAAGGTAACATTGTATAGCAAGTTTTTGCCTTTTTTAAAAAAGTAACCATTAACTTTTCAGTTTCATATCAAATTATGTAATGATTAAATCTTAAATCCTGTGTGAGAGATCAGGAGCAATAAAATGACAAGATGATCCTCTTCTACCCCCTCAAGTCCATACCTTTCTGGTTTCAAAGGCCACAATCTAGAGCCTTGGGTCCCCAGATGTTCTTGGACTACAACTCCTAGAAATCCTGGCCAGCACAGCTAGTGGTGAAGGCTTCTGGGAGTTTTCGTCCTGGAACATCTGGGGACCTGAGGTTGGGAAACTCCTAATCTAACAAAGTTAGCCATCAATACCGAATCCATTGATTTTGATTAGACTTAACTGACACAACGGGCATTTTCTAGATTGACCCCTATGGCTTTCTTTTCATTTACCTGCAGTTTTCCTGCACTATTTAGGGAATACAATTAGTATCAACAGGATGAAATGTACACTGTAGGTAATCCTAAGCCTGTCACAGATGCCAAGTCATTGTGACATGATGGCCTGGAACTGGACTAGAATGAGAAAAGGATGCAATAGAATGCAGAAGCTCAAAAAAAGTGAATGAGAGAGAACTAGGGATCTTTTGGAGACCGTGGCTCGATTTTGCACCATGTCAGTGCTCCCATACCATGCTAAGTTGAGTCTGCAGTTCTATCTCCAAGCCTTGAATGGTCCGCCTCAGTTCTGTGATCTCAGTCTTGCTGGTCTGCAACTGCTCTGAATGGGTGGCAACTTCACGGTTCAGCTCTTCAGTCTGAGAGGAAAAAGAAGATGCACTGCTTACATGCATGTCAGACAGCTAAAGGTCCTTTTAGGAACATCAGACATTCTTACTTTAGATGAACCCTATTCATCTTCGAAAGGAAGACCCACCTTGGTGAAGAACCACTGTTCGGCATCTTTGCGGTTCTTCTCTGCCAAGGCCTCGTATTGTTCACGCATCTCAGCCAGAATCTTGGTCAGGTCCACCCCTGGAGCAGCATCCATCTCCACTGAGATTTCTCCACCCAGCTGGCTTCGGAGAACAATCATTTCCTGTGAGCAGGGGAAAGTCAGAAAGTGTGTCTGCATTTTCCATTTCAAAACTCATAAGACATTCCTTGATATCAGTAAAATTACTAATCTGAGTTGTACATCTACAGTAGAACTGCCTGCTTCAGAGATTGAGAACTTCTGGCCTTCCAGGTGTTTGCTTAATTGCCATTCCTATCACTCTACACCATTGGCTGGTCTTTCTGGGGATGATGGAAACTAGAGGCCAACAATATCTGAAGGGCCACAAATTTGCCAGCCCTGGTCCGTTATGACTGGGAGCAGTTTCCCTGCCATGTCAGATTTTGGGCCCACTGCCATTTTGGAACACATAACATCTTGACTTTAATTTGATTCATTTCAAGCCCAGATTACCAAGAAGCAGTGAATACTACATAGTCTTCATTCATTTACAGTTGACTCTTCCGAGTTATATCAAGCCATTAAGACTTGCACATTTGTGGGTCATACTAGGACTCCAGTAAAAGAAGCCCCCTTCCTGGAGTCCTGCAATAATAGTCTTCATTCATATAGTTTATTCACAGCTGACTCTTCTGGGTTATAAGATATCAAGTCATTGTGGGTCATACTAGGACCCCAGGGAAAGAAGCCCCCTTCCTGGAGTCCTGCAATTAATTAACGCCACAAACAAGAAATAAGCAACTACAAAGGCTAAAGAATGCCACCCAAATTGTGCACATGCAATCAATATATTTTGTATTCATCAGCCAGGGCAGGAAATTGTAGGCCCTGTTTGTACCTTAGATACTTATTTTTGCAGAGTTAGAAATGTTAGTTTGGGTTTTGCCAGCAATTGTAATTATTGTCATTGCCATCATACAGCAATATATGAAGGGTTGTAAGCTGCTCACATCTGCTTTGGGAGGACAGAATCTAGGATTTTCTGCATGCAAAAGATGTGTTCTCCCACCAAGCCGTGGTCCCTCTTTGGTGTCATAATCCCACAACATAAAGTTATCCTTACACAGACTCCGACTGGCTTTTAGAAAGCTCTGAGTTAGTAAACTCCACCGCAAGCCACTGTAAATGGAGGCTAGCACTAGAACACTAAAGGCCAAATCACAAAGTACAAAAAAGGCACATAGCCTATTGATTACAGCCTGAGTTGCAGTCTGACCAACATATGTAGGATTTTCAAGCATTTTCCCTGCACACCTCTTGCTTACATGTTACAGGTTTATTGGTGGCTTTGACTCTCACCTCCTCATGGTTCTTCTTGAGATAAGCCAGCTCCTCCTTCAAGTTCTCAATTTGCATCTCCAGATCTGCCCTGGCCAGGGTCAGCTCATCCAAGACTCTGCGTAGACCATTGATGTCAGCCTCCACGTTTATACGCATAGCTTGCTCAGTCTCAAACCTGGAAGTACAAAGAAAGGATAAATTAAAATACAAATCTATGCCCTACATCCCCACTCTCCACCACCACTTTTGATCCCATATAATTGGGTTGCACATCCTGCAGTCCACCAGATGTGGTTAAACTGCAACTCCCCATCATCCTCCGCCATTAACTCTGCTGGCTAGGATTGATGAAATTTGTAGCTCAAAACAGCTGCAGGGCCAGGAGTTACCCATCCCCTGCCATATATAGATGGTATTATGGTGTTACGTGCTTTCTTCCTTTCAGTTATATTTCTATTGCCAAGCATGTTTTGAAACGTTTGCTGTCCAAGTCAATTTACCCTGTTTCCCTGAAAATAAGACCTAACCTGAAAATAAGCTCTAGTATGATTTTTAAAGATGCTCATAATATAAGCCCTACCCCAAAAATAAGCCCCAGTTAAGTTAAACCCTGCCCTCCACCAGTGTGCAGCAACCAGAAGAAGATGACATGACTGTATTTGAATAAATGTAGATTGTTGTACTTAAAAAAATCCCCTGAAAATAAGCCCTAATGCATTTTTGAAACAAAAATTAATATAAGACCCTGTCTTATTTTGGGGGAACACAGTAGTTCTTTTTGCCTATCCTAGTTCTCATCATGAATGATGTTTGCCTGTTTTCATCTAAAATTTTTGATGACGCTGGATCAACCTGGTACAGAGCTTCGGAAATGGCTTGGATTATGTCTGAAACATTTCTGGATTACAACTCCCAGAATGCCAGAGCTTGACACAATCACTGGCTGTGTTGGCTGGGGATTCTGGGAGTTTGAACTGAAAAAGTAACATTTCTAAGCTCTTTACCAGGTGCCATTTGATAGCTCAGAAAATATGAGAGCATCACCACTACCCAATCCTGAGGTCAAATGCCATTTCTTCTTATGCCTGAAGCAATCTCACCAGTTAAGCATGCCAGGTCCTATTCCAAATTAATGAATGAGGTTTCCCCACTGCCCACAGGTTTCCTGTGGTGAAAACAAATAAACATACTTGGATCTGAAATCATCAGCAGCCAGACGAGCATTGTCAATCTGCAGGAGAATGTTGGCATTGTCAATCGTGGCAGTCAATATCTGGAAAGAGAATATGCATACACTAAAGAACAGTTTTAAGAAGATGTGTTCAAATTTGAGTAGGAGTGAGGCTAGTATTATTAGAGTTGAGGCATAGGGCACTATTTAGAATGCAAATTAGGAGAAGCTGCATTTCTGGACTACAATCCTCATGCCTATTGGGGGATTCTAGGAGTTGTAATTGAAAAATTAAGTGTTCTAATAACCATTGGACCCAAACTAGGTAATTGCAGGCAGGATATCATTAGATACAAGTTCTGGCAGAAGGTAAAATATACCCATTCATCTTAGGAGGGTAGAGCACATTCTCCATGTTGTAAATTAGCTTGCTTTTTTCCCATGGTTATCAGGAAGTAATCATAGGCATCATTTGCAAGCCTGAGTGTTCAGACACATAGCTTTGAAGGAACTGCATGTTTGGAGGGAAAATGCTATAGCGGCAGGATACGTGCATTTCCCTGAGGGTGTGAGTGGATTTATTGAATGACAATTCAAACTTCTAAGGTAAGAGGGTCAGTTCTATCTATTCAACAGGTTGCTGCACTCCTCACTGCTACTATCTGGTTGTCTCTATTCATATGTAACTGTTTAGAGTAGGGTGGCTAAAGTTCCTGCTCCTGCTGTAATAAGGAAGAGATTGATTCTCTCTAGAAACTATCACTCTTAACTGTCAGCTTCTAACATTTAGAGGCGATTTGTTTAAGGCAGCTTAAGCTTGGAAATGTTACTTTTCTAGAACTCAGCTCCGGGAACCTCCAGAATATGGCCTCCTTGGACTCGTCCTCAGGGCCAGCTCTAAAATAAATAGCGCCCCGGGTTGAGGGGTGCTGTTGGTGCCTCCCCTTGTGGTCAGGTCAGCCTGGTGCAGCTTAGCACCCCTTCCATCCATTGCCCCAGATGGGGGTATCTCCTCAGCTCATACACACCCCTATGAAGCCACCACTGGTAGTCCAGAACAATCAGCCTTTGTAAGCTCTGAAGGCAACTATGTGAATCTGGAGGCCAGCAGTACAATTTGCATACTGAAATATACCACTTTGAACTTCAAAAGGAAGGACAACGCTGGATAGATGAATGGGTGAGCAAGAAAGGAGTCATCTGGGAGCAAAGAAAGAGGCCTCCGGGCATGGCATCTTTCTGACTCATCTCTTCTCCTGTGAAAGGCATTCTATTTGACAGGGCTGATGTAACATTGAATTAAATAGATTTGACATGATTCTTTGTTTATTTAGCAAATTAAGTGATCAAAGTACTCCCCTAATCACTCACCTGAGCCTAGCACAGGATCAATCACATTGCAACTGTTACTCATTACGCGTTTCATACAAGACTAGACAAAAGAGAGAGTCATGCTCTGTCAGAGCCATGTCACAGCCGTGCCATCCCCACCCTGCCCTTAAGGAATCTCCGTCACCTAGTGATCTCGGCCGCTTGGCGGCAAGAGCACATACCTGGAACATAAGCAACATTCATTACCTGTCAGCGGATTTCTACAGTATAGTCTTCACTTGCAACTCCTTCTTTTCAGAGGGATCTTTTTGTGGATCATCAAAGCTCAGAAGAATTACTTCCTCTAACTACGTCACCCAGCCTGTGTGGCATAGATTCTGGGAGTTGCAGTCCAATAAAATAGCTCTCTCAGTCACAAAAATGAAACTCCTATAACCCTTGGAATGATGCTTATGGCTTCTTCTGTCTTAGCTTTATACCTGTTCAGTGGCAGCATTGAGCTTCTCTTGGTACAGGATTTTGATTATGCTGGCAGGTAATTTTTATTCTTTAAAAATGATATTCATTGCAGAATTTGCACAACTCTAAATAAGGGTCTGGACTGGCTGAACAACTCAGGGAGTCAGGCTACAAAGTCAGAGGTTAGGAGTTTTGATTCGCCACTGTGCTTCCCAGAAGAACCAGCCTGTGTGGCCTTGGGCAAGCTGCGCTGTTCCAGGATGCTCCCAGAAAAGGGGAATGGTAAACCACTTCTGAATATTCTGTACCTAGAAAACCTTGAAGGGGGTCACCACAAGTCACGGACAACTTGAGGGCACACAATTACTGTTATTATTAAATAAGGATCCATTTGCACATCTAAAATTATTTTTAATCACGTATTCAAAATATAATGTGTGATTGAGACAAAGATGCGTTTGGAAACATATTTATAACACAGGTATAAACAAAAGAATGGATTGAAGTTTCTATGAAGAACCCATTTGATTTTCAGCGAAGTGGAATTGTTTGTACATAATGTATGGAAAGGCCCTAAAGGCATGCATTCCTACATGGAAACCAAAAGAGCAGCTGAGCTACAGCATCCATCGTCAGGAGACATTATGACCAGTGGATATGCTAGTAGTACATAATACAGTCTACGTTACCTGGAGAGTGCTAGGTTGGGATAGGCTGCCTAACATACAGTATATGCCCTCTAGCAAGCTAAACATTCTTCATTGCATCCCAATTTATACATGGAAGATTGCAAATGTCAAACAGCACAGCTGGGCAGGATTGCCTTATGATATCAAGTGCAAAAACAATGGTAGCTTCAGAACTGTTTTGGTCGACTGCTCCCAGAATTCCCCAAGAAGCACAGCCACTAACAGCTCCCAGAATTCCACAGGAAGCACAGCCACAGAGGGATGTTGAAGCTATCCTGGGAGTTATAGTCCAAAGAAGTAACTAGAGGGATGTTGAAGGTATCCTGAGAGTTATAGTCCAAAGAAGTAACTTTTTCCAGCAATGGTCTATACTAGCAACGACATGCATGACTAGAATTAGAATGGAAACCCATTTAAAATTTCGAATGCCTTGATGCAAAGCTGGAGCATTTGTGGCCTTCCAGATGTCAATGGACTCCTATGCCCATTTGTCCCTCATTGGTGGCCATGTTGGCTGGGCCTGATGGGACACATAATTCAACACCACCTGACAGGCCAGTGATTTCACAGCCCTAAGACATGTGCTTGGGGTTTTTTTGTCTGTTTTTGCCAAACAGTGGTCTATGATGTCCATATCCATGTTGCTGATATTGGGTTCATAAACTTATTTGAGTACTTGCAACCCAAGGGTTACATCCCCTTCAATTCAGCTTTTTTATATCTTTTGCTCCTTTTGTTAATGCCCTCTGCCCTCCCTCCCATATATAATATCTTGACCTACCTTGCTGCGGAGCTCTTCAATACTCCTGTAATATGGAGTGTAGTCACGTTCTGGACCAGGTCCTTGTTTCTTGTACCACTCCTTGATCTTAACCTCCAGCTCAGTGTTGGCTTCCTCCAAGGCCCGCACCTTATCCAGGTAGGCAGCCAGGCGGTCATTCAGGTTTTGCATGGTCGCCTTCTCACCCCCAGCCAGAAGGCCATCACCAGCAGCGACAAAGGTGCCACCCAAGCCACCACCAAATCCTCCTCCAAAACCACCCCCGAAGCCAGCCCCAAAGCCGCTGCCCACAAAGCCCCCACCAAGGGCACTGCCGACTCCAGAGACATAGCGGGAAGTAGAGACAGACATGCCCCCAATTCCTCCATGGACGCTGGGAGCTCTGTATCCCCCACCAAGATGGACAGAGGAAAGCCGGGAGGAAGCCCCACCGAAAGAGGGTCCCTTCACCGAGGAGGAAGAGGTGTACTGCCTATAAGAAGTGGTCATGTTGCTGGGAAATGGAGGCAGCCAAGAGAGAAATCCTTCTTGTGTGCAAAGTGGCTCAAGCTTTGTCTGTATCCCCTCTTATATCGAGAAGGGTGGGGTTACCACAATGGAGTAAAAAAAAAAATCTATCTTTTGCATTCCCTCAAGGTTTCATCACCTCCGGTACCCAAGCCAAATTCCCCCATGCCTGTTTCATGTTCAGAAGTGGAAACTGTCTCTTCAAAACAGGGCAGGGTTTCTTTGCATTTACCTGTTCCTTCCTTTGTTCCTAAAAGTGTCGTCAGCTCTTACTCAGATGGGCTGGTCCTTCACCCAAGGCGATGCATATTTTTCTGTACCAAGACCATGGAATGTTAAGAGTTGCTCCTGTGCCGTCCTCCTTCATGCCTGTCTGAAAAGTCAGGGCTCTCCAGCTCCCTGCCCACTCCCAGTTTTGTCTTTTGCCAGCAGCCAGCAGCCTCGAGTACCTTCCAGAATGTCAAGCATTGACTCTCTGCCTCAAGCAATGTTCAGCATTTCTCCTCTTGATTCTTCAGAGTTTATTCCTTTAAAAAAAAAGCATTCAAGCAAAGGACTTAGTGGTAGGTCTATGAGTTGGGTTTTCTTGACTGCAAACTGAAACATTCTGGATGAAACAACAAAACTGTTTTCCATCACAGTAGCCTTTACTGCCACAGTTATAATATGCCTTAGCTAAATGGAGGAGCCTTGCTAGAAGGCCTGGATCCTTGTTGCGTCAACTGTCCAGGTGCTGACAGTGGATGATCAATTCCAAGGTCCCTGATATCCCCCCTTATGGCTTTTTATCTTTGTTCTCCAGATAGGTAAAGGTAAAGGTTCCCCTTCACAATTTTTGTCCAGTCGTGTTCGACTCTAGGGAGCGGCGCTCCTCCCCGTTTCCAAGCCATAGAGCCAGCGTTTTGTCTGAAGACAATCTTCCGTGGCCACATGACCAGTGCAATTTAGACACGGAAGGCTGTTATCTTCCCACCGAGGTGGTCCCTATTTATCTACTCACATTTGCATGCTTTCGAACCGCTAGGTTGGCGGGAGCTGGGACAAGCGACGGGAGCTCACTCCGTCACGTGGATTCGATCTTACGACTGCTTGGTCTTCTGACCCTGCAGCACAGGCTTCTGCGGTTTAGCCCGCAGCGCCACCACATCCCAAACTGTTCTCCAGATACATGTACTAATTTTAAAGTAATTCTTTACTTCCCCGTTTCTCAGAGGCAACTGAAACTATAAACAAGTTACTTCTAAAAAACAATTGCAAAAAATCACAAGGTAGAACAGGAAGCAGCATTGGAATCATTGTGCTAATCTGCCTCCTTCATTTTGTAAGACCACCCATCCTATCACTACGAGAGTCACTGAAGTTAGTTATATCATGGAAGAATTTACATTGGCCTTTCCTTTAATTATTGGGGTGGGTGGGTAGCACAACTTAGACCAAGTAACTGGTTCATTGTAACTGGCTCATACCCATCTGCTAGGGTAGTGACATACATCACCAAAAAGGAGGATAAAAGAGAATACTAATTTGCAGGAAATGACATATGCTAATTTACGTGTGTTGACAGGATAGCTCCTTGGGTTAGGTATCTGGTTGTAGAGCCAGAAGCTGGGAGGTTTGATTCCCTCCTGAGAGAAGAGCCAGCCTGTGTGGCCTTGGGTAAGCTGCACATTCCCAGAGTGCCCCCAGAAGAAATGAATGCTAAACCACTTCTGACTACTCTCTGCTTAGGAAACCCTGGAAAGGATCGCCACAAGTCAACATTGACTTGATGGCACATTGTTATATTAATGTATATATATAGATGCAAAACTGGAAATGATTTTTCAGTTCTTCCATTAGAATTATAGTACATCTGACTTGTGCACCTGGTACATCTTCTGTGGACGGACAACTTAAAAGTCCATGATCTCCTCCTTTCTTTTTTTACATCCAACTGGAACCTGATAACAGTCCCTTGAAAAGGAGGATTGTTTCTTGCTGGCAGCACGTCAAATAGACAGCTCTCTTCTGTAAAAGAAGACACATACCCTACTATCTGCAGTGCCTTTGTTCGGGTTCCAGCAGGTCTTTCCTTACCTTCTCACACAATAAATACCTGTGTTTTAATCTGGTCACTGGTGCAGCAAGGATACTAGTTTAATCTGGTTACTGAGAGGTATTGGCCATAATCCTATTCATTTCAACCCTGCACAAAATGGCCATTGTCCTCTTGCTGAGATTTGCTTAAGGAGGTATTCATCGTTATGCACATAGAAGCTTTGTTGTTGTTGATTACTTTAATACTGCCCCATTAGTGTCGAAGCACTATTCTGGGTGGTTTACAAAAGGTTAAAATCAAACTCCACAAAACAATAAACACTAAATTGCAACATAAATAACAAAAGTATAGCCTAAGACATAAAGACCAATGGCACCAAACCAATTTTCAAAATAAAACAAGACTGGAGGTGAGGCATTCAACCAGGGTCCATGTGAAAGGCCTCCCTGAAAAGCAGTGTTTTCAACTGCCTTCTAAACGAGTCAGGGAGGGGCCAGGCTCTCTGGGAGCCACCAGCAAAAAGGCCCTAGCTCCTGTAGATGACTTTCGGGCACCTTTCAAGGTGTTTATATGGAAGAGCCTGGTATTTTTGGAATTTGGTTTTTGAATTCCTGTTGTTGGTGAAAGAGCATCAGAAGGAAGCTGGCACAAAAGAGAGTGAATCAGGAGAGAGCTTATAAAGGACCAGAAGTAAACTAGTTGTTTGTTTGTTTGTTTTTTTGCAAGAAAGATCCAGTGTTTTGCTGGTCTATCCATACCAAATTTGATTAACAGAGGAGTTAAGAGGGCCAGTTTCCCAAAGGAGCTTGAAATAAAAAACAGAGTTCCCAAAGGGATAATAAAAATCTATAAAAAGTAATGTCATTGAAAGGGATTAATTTGGAAATGCTGTCTTGATTGAAAATGTATAGATAAAGTTGCGGCTCTGCTGGCGAGTGTTCTTCGTTGTAGTGGAGCCTTTTTGCCGCACCCTCTGGCGCAGCGCGAGACAGCTCATCATTGCAATTTCTCCATGGGGTGGGGGCGGGGAATGAGTTGTTCTAAAAGATAGCTTGGCTCCTTTTCGGCCTCATTCAAGGCTCTCAGACTGTGACGCACTGCGAATTGAGTGACTTTGTGGACATCGGATTCAGGGTTGCGGCCGCACCCTTTGGTTTGAATTGACTGTGCCAGCACAGTCAATTTATTCCAGATATATATTCCTTGCTACATTATTGGGACTTGTTTGCTTCAAGGGGTTTCAATGGGGTGTTCCCCCCCCAGGGCAGCTTCTGCTGTGTCACCACCATCGGGATTAGCAAGATACCTGCAAATTGTCTCTTCCCAAACCTCCAGCAGATTACTACACTTAACTTAATTATAGCATTGTTCTGATTTTGGGTATCTTAAATGATAAGGACAACTCTGGGCTTAGTGAAAGTGGTGGTGGTGTAAGCACGATAGCTGGGGGATTTTAGGTTGGGTTGCCCCCCATGACTTCATTATTCAGTTAATAGCTATTAGATTACTTAGAATTGGTGTGATTTTAATAATAATAATAATAATAATAATAATAATAATAATAATAATAATAATAATAATAATAATAATAATAATAATAATAATAATAATAGTTACAGTAGTTAATTTGTATGTACATATACTGAGGTCTAATTATTTACAAATAGGGGAATAAAGTGCTTAGGTGCTGGAAGTGCACAGTGCATAAATAAATAATTGAATAAATTAGTAAGTAAATAAATAAAGCTACTTCAAGGTGCAGGGCTTAATCAGGTCTTATTTCATTGGTGGAGTGTAGTGGTTCAAGCTTGAAGCCTTGCTTAATCTGCTTCAGTATTTTGGGTCTCTTTGGCATAGTTTTAAATAATATAACCAAGAATTTATTGAATACATAAATACAAATAAGGTGTTGATGAGAGTTTTGAAGAGTGTATAAGACCATAACAAGCTAACAACTCCAGAACTATGGGTCCAAAGAAGGGACAGGGAAAAAGTAAAGGAAAACAGCCTGCTAAATGATGCCCCCCCCCTCAGGTTTATCCTGAAGAGTCATCCTTGGATGAAGAGACTTGGCCCATTTGGCAGGAGCTGCACAACAAAATTTATGCACTAGAGGGGCCTGGTTGCAAGTGGGTCCCAGCCTCACAGGTCTTCCAGAGAGTCTAAGGGTTACAGAAGAGCCAAACTTATGGTTTTAGCTGATAATCTCTCATGTCACCTTAATGTGCTAGATACTGAGCAATGTGCTGTTCAGAGACCATCCACAGGAGCTGAGGCACTGGAAAGAGTATCTCAGAGGGCACAGTCCAAACCCTCAAGCGGTAGTCCTGAGCCTGAGTTGGCTGTAGTGGTTGCGCAGGAATCATCGGCTATTGGAATTGTGGGTGAGTTAACACCAACACCTGACACTTTTAGGGATGCAGTAGCCTGGCCTTGGTCAGGTATAGGCCAGGTGGGTACGTCAGCAATGGCACCACACTAATTTACACAAGGCATTGGGCCACAGTCACCTCAGGTGCCACCAGGACCCCCAATGGGTTGTATTCCACCATATCCACAGGTATCATTCCCAGCTCCTTTGGGGGGTCACTCTCAGGGTAGGCGTATGGCCATACTCTTCAGTACCAGATACTGGTTACAATTCTGTACCTTTGAAGGCATTACCCTTTGTTGATTATTCCATGCCATTGGGAGACCATTTAACTTCAGAGACTAAAGAAAAAAATCTATAGAGGTATTTACATTGATGTGTTTGAGCTTCTAAATAGAAAAGTTGACAGCAAGGAATTGGAAAAAGATGATAAGGAAAAGGAGAGATGCAGGAGGCGCAAGCCTGAGCACAACTGGGCTAATTGGCTGCCAGACTTTTTTATTTATGAGGAAGTTATAGTGAAGGCTTAACCCTGGAAGGCTTCATCTTTGATTCAATATTTGGATTTAATCTATAGGGTGCATGTTGACTAACCGGGTCATGTGTGGTTCCTCTACGACAAATTGTTTCGTATGATAGTTGTGATACACATGAATTTGCATGGGGATGATCCCCACCCTGGGCTCTGGCTTCAGTACATGGCCCGTGCTTGACCTAGTGTGGGCGACAGGTTTGATAGCAGCCATCTTATCCGCAAGGCGAGCCAGAATTTCT